CCAACCATCACCATTATATATAAAAAAATAGCAAGAAAGAAATCATCCCACTCTACTCAAATCTCAGTACAAAACTGGGTATGGTTAACCACATGTCTTAAACTAATTAAAAATCCTTACTTTTTTATATTAAAGAGAGTTCAAGTAAGAGTGTCAAAGATCTAAAAACTTAATATATTCCACCATACACTATATTATATGAGAAAGATAGGGTGGAAAAAGATGTACAAAATTCAATATAGATCCGTCCATGTTAATCACTTTTAACGTCCTAAATTAATTTCACAGATTCAACGGAAAGATAATACACTTTTCTAATCCCTTATTTTTCTCAATCGGATCCGATCTTATTCTCTTTATTTTCAAATTTTAAAAAAATTCCAAAGAAATAACGTATAAATCATGATATACACAATGATATCCATTTTGTTATATTAAAAATTAAAATTTTAAAACACGTGTTGGATGTAGTATGATGATAGTCGTATATACTGACACGTCTCTTTCATTTTAACTAAAAAATTTAAAAACTTTGTATAAAATTAACTCATTTATAAAGATCTATACAATGTTTTAAGCAAAAATTCTGTGTTTTATATAATCTTATCACTATCATATCATGACATCATTTTTTCGCTCCAAGAATCATAATATCTTATCACTTTCATACCAACATCATATCCCTATGTGTTTGAGCCTAGGCTGTACTAGGCGGTTATGGGGCTCCGATCTGGACTCCCTCGTCTGATCTTCTCGGGAGTTGAAGAACCTGTGAGGCGGGGGGCGGCCCCCGGGATCTACGCTCCGACGCCCAAGTTAGTACGATATAGGAAGCGGTTTATGGTATGTAGAGAGAGAGAGTTTAGAGAGAGACCTTAGGGTAAGAGTGGGAAGGGAAGAGAGGATCTTTGGCTTGGAGGCTTTGGCCTCCTTATATAGAGCTGGGGCCTCCTTGAGTGGGCTTGGGCCCGAGACGCCTTGCGGTGGGCTTGGGCCCATTTATAGTCGTGTAGGCATATTAATCCATATCCCAACAATTTCCCCTTTACTTCTTGTATTCTGTAAGAATTGAAGGAGGAACATAATGCGTTAATCATGTATTAATTTGCCTTACTTGCGAATCTGGATGATGCGGTTTGCCCCTTGTACGAGTTGCGTGATAATTTCCTTTGCCCCTTGCTTGACTTTCGATGTCTTGAACCAAAGCTCTCAAGTCGTTAAGAGTTCCTTCCCTAGTCCATTGTTGTTAGCGCTAGTAGACCATAATTGAGACCTAGATAGGGTGGCCCCCACGGCTTGAGAGTTTTAACTCAAGACGCTCTTGTTTTGTGTCTCACCAATGTCGCGTCCATGTTGTCAGGAAGTCATGTGTCTTGTTAATGTCTTACTTGTGTGAGGCAAGATCAACTATTCTCTTCTAGGAAGCTTAGTACTTCGGCTTTTGAGAAGCGCATTAGTCTTTTAGCTTTCTGGAAAGCTTAGTGCTTCTTCGGCTTCCTGGGGTGCGCTTCTTCTTCACTTCCGGAGAAGCGCTTTGCTCCTTAGGCTTCCTAGAAAGCGCATCGCTCCTTCGCTTCTTGGGAAGCTTATCGCTCCTTCGGCTTCCTCGAAACGCATCGCTCCTTCGCTTCTTGGGAAGCGCATTGGTCCCTCCGCTTCCTGAGAAACGTATCGCTCCTCGGCATCCTGGGAAGCGCATCGCTCATTTGGCTTCCTGGGAAACGCCTCGGGCCTTCGGCTTCCTGGGAAGCGCATCGCTCCTCGGCTTCCGGGGAAGCGCATTGCTCCTCGGCTTCCTGGGCAGTGCATTGCTCCTTCAGCTTCCTGGGAAGCGCATTAGTCCTTCGCTACCCGGGCAGCGCGTTGCACCTTCGGCTTCCTGGGAAGCGTGTTGCTCCCTACGCTTCCTGGGAAGCACATCACTCCTTGGCTTCCTGGGAAGCGCATCGCTCCTTCGCTTCCTGGGTAGCGCATTGCTCCTTCGATTCTTGGGAAGCGCATTGCTCCTTCGGCTTCCTAGGAAGCATTCCCTAAAGGGAGCATCACTCAATGGCGGGAAGCATTCCACAGAGGGAAAATTGCTCAGAGGCGGAAAACATTCGCGAGAGGGGGCGTCGCTCGGAGGCGGTTTTCGAGCCTTGCCCGAAGGCTTGCGTGAATCATTCCCCGGAGTGAGCATCGCTCGAAGGCGGGAAGCATTCCCCGGAGGGAGCATCGCTCAGAGGCGAAAATCATTTCCGAGAGGGAGCATCGCTCGGAGGCGGACCACATTCCCGAGAGGGAGCATCGCTCAGAGGCGGGAGTCTTCGAGCCGAACCCGGAGGTCGTAGGCGTGAGTCTTTGAGTTTCGGGAAAAGATGCAAGTGGCTAGCGCCCAATATATTTAAAGTATAAATAGAGCATAGAGAGCGCCTGACATAATAGTAGTGAACCGCTTTGCATAAGATATATCTTTGAAAAATGGACTTAGATTTGGAGACGTTGGAGAGCGGTTAAGTATTGGCTGCTGTGTTGTTTTGATATCAAAGCGCTCCTATGGCTTACTTGTTGGTGTGTTTGCCTGTCAAAGGCAGGTCTGCGGAGGCGACTCTCTTATTTTTTTAATAAAGTGTGCATCCGATGCGAGCAATGGGCCGAACTGGCGGGCTTTGAATGATGGCTTGGGCGCGTTGTGGGCTGAACGCGGCCCGAACGCGTGGGCCGCCTAGGCGAGCCAGGCTTCAGCGGGCCTATGTGGTGAAGTTTTTGGCAGTCCGGGTCTCAAATGCGAGGCGGCTTGTGTCTTCAATTGGGCCTTGAGGTGCTGGAAGTGGACATGGATTTGTTGAGCGGGCTGGCCTGATGAGAAATGAAGCGGTCCATGCGATTGGAGGGAGTGACGGGCTTGCAGATTTGGAGTGCAGCTCGTCGGGTCTTTGGCGGTCTGCTTAGTGGAGATGGGCTGAATAGAGGGCGGTCTTGTGGGGCCAAATTCGAGGCACAGGCCTGGGCGGCTGACTGTTGGGCCAGATCCGAAGGCTTTGATGTGGGAGGTGGCCCAGTTGGACTTGGGCTCGTGTTGAAGTTGGAGACGAATGAAGCAGGTAGGCGGTCTTTAGTGGGCGGCCCGTGTTAAAGTTGGAGACGGATGAAGCGGGCCGAACGTAGGTGGATCCAGTCAGGGCAAATGTTCGGATGAGAACAGAATCGCGAAGCGGAGCGATGCGGTCCATGTGACCAGGGCCGAAGCTTGGTGGGTCATTGGAGATGATGATCCGGCTGTTCGACGGTTGATTGGGATTGGGATTGAATGAAGCTTTGCCTTCCTTTAGTCAAATGTGGACACGTGGGCCGCTGAAGCTTGGTGGGCCGGTCCTGACAATAAGTGGGTCGCATTATTGTGGCGTGCGGCGGTTCTGAAGTCGAGAAATGTTGACTTAGCTTGAGAGAAGTTGGAGAGCATTTAAACACTGTCAGTTGCGTCCTTGATTATCGAAGCTATCTTGTAGTGTACTGGGTGAAGCTCTTGAATGCGAAGGCGAGGTCATTGGTTCGACGACCCTTGATTGAGGCGGTCCATTCATTCTTTTTTAATGAGGCTTGACATGCTTTGCCGACCTGATGGCTGAAGGCGTGGGCCGCCTGGGAAATGGGCCGCGTAGTCAAGCGATTGAGTTTGTTGGCTTGGAAAGAGAGATCAAAGACAGTCTTGAAGGTGGGCGGTTCGGCCCAATGCTTGATGCCGACTCGTCAGGCCAAATGTTGGGCAGGATGGAGGCAGTCTTGTCTCTTCAATGAGGCCTTGATGGAGGGAACGCGTGGTGCCTTTGGATGTGAAGACTAAAGTGGACGTTGACGAGAGTGGATGTGTGGGCCTGACACTTGGGCCGTGAAAGCTGGAGACGTGGACTTCAGTCCGTCAAGGCGGTCCGCGGGCGCCAATTATGATATATCCAGTGCGTTCCAAGTTGAAGCATGAGTCGTCATCCTGGTCTACTGGTGAGCGCTTATACTTGTTTGGTTGTGGTCAATGGTTCAAAGCTTGGTGGAGGCGGAAGGCGGTTTTCCCATCCTTTTTTAATGAGGCGTGATGATGGTCAGACGATCTTCAGACGCGGGAGTCTGGCCCACGTGGCAGAATTTGTTGGGGTGGAATTCGGGCTTTGCACACACTCCGTCTAGGCTTGGCAGGCCGGGGCCCAAAAGCGGGTATCCACCCGAAGCCCGCTCGATAAGGGCCCAGATTGGTGGTGTTTTCGGGCCCGTCAACGGGTGGCGGGTAACCCGGGACCCGTCAACCATGGTTTTCGGGAGGTTGTGGTTCGTCCAGTATCCGCTCCACGACCCGCCCGACGGGTTACCCGTGTAAAAAACGACGGCGTTTGGAGGCCATATATATTCTTCGTTTTCCCTTGAGAAACCCTAGCTGCCGCCTCAGATTTCATTCTTCCCCAAAAACAGAAACCCTAGTTTCCTTCTTTCTCTCAATCTCTCTGCCTCCTCTGTAGCGATTAGCGATCAGATCGCTAGATAATCGTGATCTGGCCGATTTTCCGCCATTTCCCTTCATCAATTCCTCCATTCGACCAATTGCATGGCTGGAAGAGCAACCATCCGACGAAGATTTCGTCGGCCGCAGTCCAAAAACGAGTCGTTCGAAGTTCAAATCGCTGATTCTTCGAGAAAAGATAAGTTAATTCTGGGTTTCTTATCTTTTCTTTCAAGTATCTTCCCTGATTCCCCGTTCCCCCAACTCTATACTAACTCTTCTTGTACTGGTATATATAGGGGGGATTCAGAGCGGAGAGGTCTTTTCTCACCACGCCATCTTCTGAAATCGAGAACAAGAACACCCCAGTCGAGTCCACAGAGAGCTTAGATCGAGGGATTTAGGCGAGCCTCCAGACAGAGTCCATTCATCGAGGGTAAGTGGTGTCAATACAGACATGCATGCAATAAATTGCAGTTCTAACTTGCTTTGTGTTCGTTGTTCACTCTTGTTTGGGCTAGGTTGGTCTCGGTCGTTTGGAACTTTGGATCTGGTTTCGAGAACTGAAGTGGAACAGATTCAGTGAGCAGTGAGGATCAGTCTACTGTCATTGGGTACTCGACAGTCCACATAAAACTCCAATCCGAGAAGGTAATCCCGTCCTCCTCTCCTAAGCCTCAACTCACTGTGTTTGACTGTTTGTTCATAATGCTGCGACTTGTTGTGACAATAAGAGGATTCATAATGCTAATAAGTAAAAATAATTAAACTGTAATCGTGATTTTGCTGCTAAAGATGTTTGTTTGCAAGTTTAGTCTTGTCATTGTGAATGTAACTAAGTTAATAACTAAGGCTTAACTGCTTAAGTAGTAATACATAAATTTTTTATGTTCAGATGGAAGGTGCTCCTACTGCTATAAATGTTGACCTTGCTCCCAATTTCAATGTCCCTGAACAACCTGTCCAACCTCAACCTGAACAACCTGGTAATGTTGAGGAGCTTGAAGCTCAACGTAAGTTAACCTCTGATGTGTGGCCTCACTTCAACCGAGTTAGGGTTAATGGGGTTATGAAGGCTAGGAGTAAGTATTGTCGTAAATCCCTTGGTGGGGAAACAAGTAATGGAACTTCACACCTAAGAACCCATATCAAAACATGTATCCAAAAGAGGATACATGATGGTTCTCAAAAAATACTTGGGCCTAACTATAAACCTGCTGGAAATCCTCAACTCTCTGCTTCTCAATACAATTATGAGGTTTCTAGGAAGGAACTTTGCTCAATGATTCTGGTCCATGAGTACCCCCTTAGCCTTGTTGATCATGTGGGTTTCAAACGTTTTTGTTGTTCTCTTCAACCTCAATTCAGTGTTCCTAGTAGAAACACTGTCAAAAAGGACATTTTGAGTTTGTTTGGTGTTGAAAGAGCTAAATATCAGACCATTATTGATGGTAACCTGGGGAGGGTTTCAATTACAACTGATTTGTGGACTGCCAGAAATCAGAAAAGGGGTTATATGGCAGTAACTGGTCACTTCATTGATAACTCTTGGAAGCTCCGTAACATAATGATGAGATTTATGTATGTTCCAGCCCCTCACACTAGTGAAAGGCTTGCTGATAGGTTGTTTGATTGTCTTTTGGATTGGAACATTGATGGTAAGTTGTCCTCAATCACATTGAACAACTGTACCACCAATGATTCCATGATTTTCCACATGAGAAATAAGCTTATGAGCAGTGACTTGTTGCTTGATGGTAAATTGGTTCATATGAGGTGTTCTGCTCATATTCTGAATTTGATTGTAAGGGATGGTTTGGATGCAATCAAGGATGCTATAAATCTGATTAGGGAGAGTCTAGTTTACTGGAATTCTACACCTAAGAGGGTTCAAACCTTCTTCGAAGTTGCTAAGCAACTTAAGCTGTCTGTTGAGAGAAAATTAGTCCTTGATTGTCCAACTAGGTGGAATTCCACCTATCATATGCTCTCTGTTGCTATTCCCTACAAGGATGTGTTCTTTCGTTTGAGTTTGAGAGACAATCATTACACATCAGTTCCATCTAGTGAACAATGGGAATTTGCTTCTACTGTGATTGGGAAGCTGGAAATCTTTTCTGAGATTACTGAGTTGTTCTCTGGTTCCAAATACCTGACTGCCAATCTGTTTTTTCCCAAGATTTGTGACCTCAGACTTAAACTGAATGAGTGGGGGGCTAGTCAAATGTCACTGAAGTTTGATAAGTACTGGGATGATATCCATCTTGTGCTTGCTGTATCGGTTGTTTTGGATCCTAGATATAAACTCCATGTGATTGAATACTATGCTGGAAAGTTTGGGAATACAGAAACTGATTTGGTTGCTGAGAATATCAAGCAAATGATACGTGGTTTGATTCGTGATTATCAAACCAAAGTTGAGAACAAATCTGGTTCTCAAACTGGAACTTCTTCTTCTGGTTCTGGATCTGCTTCTGCCACTGAACTTGACTTTGAACTCTTTGTAAGTCAAAGGAAAAAGAGTAAGACTTCCTTGATTACAACTGAGTTGGGTATGTATCTTGCTGAGGATATCATTCCTCGCACAGCAGAGTTTGATATGCTCTTGTGGTAGAAATTGAATGGTTTGAAGTATCCGACCTTGCAATCAATTGCAAGGGACTTTCTGGCAATCCCTATTACTTCTGTGCCTTCTGAGAGTGCATTTAGTTCTGGTGGGAGGTTGTTAGACCCTCACCGGAGCAGGCTGCATTATTCGACTGTGGAGGCAATGATGTGTACTAGGAGTTGGATAATGGAGGACATGCAACGAGGTAACATGCAACTAAAACTCTCAAGTTTATTGGTTTAAGTTTTAACAATAGTATCAACTCATTCAACTGGTTTTGTGCAGATTCAGAGGCTGCTGCAGAGGCATTGGAGGGACTCTTCTCAGCAATGACAGTGGAAGATACAAGTGTGGAAGAGGCAGAACCTGGTGGTAAGCTCAATAGATCATTTTTCCAAAGTGTGTTCTATTAGTTCTTTGTATTATTTCATTGAGGAATACTTACATTTGTATTGTTTCGCTATTTCAGGTCCAGAACTCACCTTAATGAGATCACCATTTGCCCATGAAGACTGATTGGTAATCTACTGTGGGACCAAGGTAAATGTCTTCTTTATTTGTTGTCCTTGATGAATGCGTTTTATGCATTTAGTCTTTACTAACTGATTCATTCCTCTTGTGTGTTCTTTACACAGTTTCAATTGATGTCTGCTGGTCTGCTGGTTTACATCGATTGGAATGAGGGTCAGGGGTGGTCGGGTGGATGATTGCTCAATGATTCGATGCTGCTGGAACCTGGAATCCTGGATGGAATGTTGTTGCGCTGCTGTTGCTTGCAGCTTTTCATTCTACTGTTTTTGGAAAAGAATTAGACATTTAGAATTTAGAGTCGGCTGATACTTTTTGGTTGTTGGTTCATTTGATAATTTCTATCACAAACATGGAACAAATGTTGTTTTTGGTGTTGTTGCTTGCTGAGCTGCTGGCATAGTGGCGTTAATTGCAGCTTGGCAAGCTTTCGTTGGTTTATTTCAAGTCTTTTTGACAGATCAGTGACAGTCAGTATGAATAAAGTGTCCAGTTTTCCAGATTTTTTGTCATTTTTAATTTTATTTTTCATGTTTGTAGCGGGTATAATGGACCCGCGGGCACCCGATTACCCATTGGGGATGGGGATGGTTATCCAGCCAAGCCCGCAAGTCCGTTTGGGCCGGGGACGGGGAAACCCGAGGCCCATGGTGGGTGGGCAACGGATCCAGGGTACCCGGCCCCGATCCGCCCCGTTGCCAAGCCTAACTCCGTCTGGTCTACTGGTGAGCGCTTATACTTGTTTGGTTGTGGTCAATGGTTCAAAGCTTGATGGAGGCGGAAGGCGGTTTTTCCATCCTTTTTTAATGAGGCGTGATGGTGGTCAGACTGTCTTCGGACGCGGGAGTCTGGCCCACGTGGCAGAATTTGTTGGGGTGGAATTCGGGATTTGCACACACTCCGTTGAAGTTGGGTCAGCGTTGAGAAAATGAAGGTGGGTCTGGCTGTCTGCTTCTGAAGAGCTCGTGGTGTGGAACTGTGGAGGCGGACTGACTAAGGTGCTTTGCGCCTTAATTTAACCCGGTGGGCCTCTAGGCAGTCTGCCACCATCTTCTTCAGCGCAGCTTCCATTCCCAGACCATGCGTTTCCAGCCTGGTTTCCTCGATAACTCTGCCTTGATAATCGTGCATGTCTCTTTCTTCTGAAGGAGAGAGAAAGAGTGAGTGAATTTTTTCTTTTTCTCCTTGGTTATCGAGAAAGTGGCGCCTCGACATGAACTAACTGTAGCATACGTCCTGCTTTTTGTAAATGACACCAGAAAAGAACGATTAGTGACCTTTGACTGCAGCGGCCGGGATTCATCTTCTTCCCTTCGCCGGAGCGCCGGCACTGAGCGCAACTCCGTCAAACAAGCTAGGTCACCGCAATTTGGGAAGAGTCAGATTGGCTACAGAGGAACGGCGGAATGGCTTGAAGACAATGGCAAGAACGATGGCTGATGGTGGTTCTTGTTCTCTCTTCTCTTCCTTTTAGTCGACGGGTCTTCTTAGGGCTTGGCGGTTGCTGCTGAAGCTTGTAGTTGATTGAGGATGAGCTGATTTCCTCCCTCCTTCCAAAATCAAACGAAAAAGTACCAAAATCTTAGCCCCACGGTGGGCGCCAATTGTTTGAGCCTAGGCTGTACTAGGCGATTATGGGGCTCCGATTTGGACTCCCTCGTCTGATCTTCTCGGGAGTGGAAGAACCTGTGAGGCGGGGGGCGGCCCCCGGGATCTAAGCTCCGACGCCCAAGTTAGTACGATATAGGAAGCGGTTTATGGTATGTAGAGAGAGAGAGAGAGAGAGAGTTTAGAGAGAGATCTTAGGGTAAGAGTGTGGGAAGGGAAGAGAGGTTCTTTGGCTTGGAGGCTTTGGCCTCCTTATATAGAGCTTGGGCCTCCTTGAGTGGGCTTGGGCCCGAGACGCCTTGCGGTGGGCCCGTTTATAGTCGTGTATGCGTATTAATCCATATCCCAACACTATGGTAAGATTTCATAATATCATTTCACCACTTTCATACCATAATCTTACCCTATGGTAAGACTGATAACACCCTCATACCACTGTCATATCACTATGAAATATCAACATATGACAGTGGTGTTGAGAGAGGTTTAATAATTAATACCTTATTTTGGCCCGAACTATGACCATATAATCAACTTTGGCCCGTGGTTTCAGAAATTAACATCCTGGCCTAAACTATGCAGCATATAAACTCAATTAGCCCGACACATAGTTTGACCGTCAATTTGGACGGTCAACTCCGTTGACCGTTAGTCAACACGCCATGTCATTGCCTAGTCAGCCTAAAAATCATTAAAAAAATGCAAATTTCAAATTATTTTTCTAATTTTCCTTATTTATTATCAAATTAACCAAAAATAAATTATAAAAAACATAAAATAAATTTGATTTTTATTTTTTGGATAATTTGAAAATTGATAAATTTTATAAATTAAATAAAAATTATCAAATTATTTTATATTTTTTCCCACAAAAATATAATTTATATCATAATTTATAAATTTATAAAATTTATATTGATAATTTTTGGTTAATTTATAAAATTTATCATTTTCAAATATAAAAAAAATTATTTTATATTTTTAGAATTTTATCTTTTGGTTAATTGGAAAATGATAAATAATAGAAATTAGGAAAATAATTTGAATTTAAAATTTTTTAATCATTTTTAGGCTGACTAGGCAATGACATGGCATGTTGACTAACGGTCAACGGAGTTGACCGTCCAAATTGACGGTCAAACTATGTGTCAGGCCAATTGAGTCTATATGCTGCATAGTTGAGGCCAGGATGTTAATTTCTGAAACCACGGGCCAAAGTTGTTTATATGGTCATAGTTCGGTCCAAAATAAGGTATTAACCCATAAATCTTATAGCAGACAATTTTCATGATTTAGTTCGTCTTACGCTTTCAAATGATTTTATTTATAAAAAATTGTTTAGTTACAATAATTCAAGTGTTTGGGAGAGGTTCAATAATATATCTTGTACTATTTACTAACATACCCCTTGTAAGAAAGTTAACTTGTATAGAATTGAAGTTCGTACAAATCTAAATACTATGCATTTACTAAATGTGATCGCCAAGATTTAAAAATAAAACTTCTCGATCAATTAATTTTCAATTAGGCACACCCTAATTTTCGATATCAATTAATTATAATACCTAATTAAACTGTTTAACTACCAAGCCAAGGTGGGGCCCGGCCTCCGGTGATGCACCCCTTAACAGTTAACACTCTCCCTCAGCCCCATACGATAGAGTGGATATTATGCACCTTAAATTAAAAGTAGTCTTTAACATCAAATTATGGGTTGTATGTACAATATCTTCTTTTAACGTTCAAACATCCACTTCTATTATTTTGACATAAAATATAACTATGTACTTGGGAAACATTATCAAACATATCAATATGTTAAAATTTATATCCGAAAATCATCAATCATGATCGTACTGTGGTTCGAATGACCTTACCTCGACAAAATGATAGGAAAAAAGTCCGTTTCGCCTCTTCATTTACTTCTTGAAATCTTGTTAAAGTGCAATTATCAGGAGTACTGTGCTATACAAAAGAAATCAAAATATGTTAAGTGAAATTATTGGTTATATTTTTAGAACAAAATATGTAACATAGGGTATGTTTGATAATATTTCTAAAGTGCAGAGGTATTTTTATGCAATAAATAATAGATGGACATATTTGATAAAAATGTGTAGTGGAAGGACATTTATACCTATAACTCTATATTAATTGCTATTATTAGTTTAATCTGATGCATGACCCTATATGTCTAAAACCTTATATTATAATCCCAAAATCATGAACTATAAATTCCATATCCCAAATCCTCAAAATACAACCATACTATGGTGCTCATATGCCCAACTATGAGAACTTGCTCAAAGGCGTGCATGCACCGTTGGATTGGATGCGGGGGGAACCGCGATCGTTGGATAGACCCACTGACAATTTATTTATAAAATTTTCAATGCCTCCATTAAGCGGTCTTGATCACTTGTGCAAGATCCTTCGGTACGAGAAGTTATGAGCAACTTCTCACAGTTGGCATGTAGGGCAAATCCATCAATTTCCTTGCCATCATAGTCCAAAATCAAGATTGAGATTGTTTTGATACTAATCGCATGATCAAAATAATAATTATGAGTCAGATATGCATGTATCAAGAAAGTAGAGGTGACAATTCTCAATCCAATCCACCAATTCAATCCATCAACCCATTAAAAATATTCACCTAATCCAATCCATTTAAATCCAATACATTTGATCCAAATCCAATTGGATTGGTGAATTCATGGATTGATCCATGGATCCAAATGACAAATTATGATTTGGTACCTATACTTTTTATATTTTACATTTTAGTACCCAAAATTTAAATTTTTAACGAAAAATATCATTGAAAAATTATGTTTTGGTACCTAAAACTTTTTATTATAACATTTTAGTACCTAAACTTTTTATATTTTACATATTGGTCCTTGGGTGAGGATGTCATTTGGATTCATGGATAATCCACCAATCTACTTAATCCAATCCATGAATCAACCAATCCATTAGATCCAATCCATTTGATCTATGGATCCATCAATCCAATCTCCAATCTCCAATGTATGGATCAATCCATTTGCCACCTCTACAAGAAAGCATGTGTACTAGAAACAAATCCTTAGACTAGTTGATAATTTAGGATCAATAGGATAATAAACAATGTGGACCTAAATTTACTTTTGATCAATAAACTTACGATCCATTCTCTCAAACTTCACGAGTTAGGCAAAGCGAAGTAAAACAATGCACAATGAAATGAAGT